GAAAGAAATGAGTTGGGAGGGGGGTGGCGAAGTGGGTTGTTGGGATCAACGGTAACAAGGATGATGTTCGTTCATGCAAGACTTATGAAATTTGATATGAAAGAGTTATTCTCATCGACCGATATCGTCTGACGTCAGGAAAAATACGACACGAAAAAGAGGTGCAACACGAGGACTTCCCAGGAGGTCACCTATCCTAGTACTACTCTCGCCCAAGCACGCTTAATTGCGGAGTTCTGATGGGATCCGGTGCATTACTACTGGTATGTTCGCAATTGCCAAGTGTTGCGCGATCAATGGTTATATGGATTCGACAGCACACCTGACTAACTTGTGATGCGTGAACGATCTTGAATTTGTGACGAAAGAAATGAGTTGGGACGGGGGCGGCGAAGTGGGTTGTTGGGATCAACGGTAAAAAGGATGATGTTCGTTCAAGCAAGACTTATGAAATTTGATAGAGTTCTTCTCATCGACCGGTATCGTCTGACGTCACGAAAAATACGACACGAAAAAGAGGTGCAACACGAGGACTTCCCAGGAGGTCACCCATCCTAGTACTACTCTCGCCCAAGCACGCTTGACTGCGACGTTCTGATTGGATCCGGTGCATCAGTGTTGGTATGATCACACCTGCCAAGTGTTGCGCGATCAATGGTTATATGGATTCGACAACACACCTGACTAACTTGTGATGCGTGAACGATCTTGAATTTGTGACGAAAGAAATGAGTTGGGAGGGGGGCGGCGAAGTGGGTTGTTGGGATCAACGGTAAAAAGGATGATGTTCGTTCATGCAAGACTTATGAAATTTGATATGAAAGAGTTATTCTCATCGACCGGTGTCGTCTGACGTCAGGAAAAATATGACACGAAAAAGAGGTGCAACACGAGGACTTCCCAAGAGGTCACCCATCCTAGTACTACTCTCGCCCAAGCACACTTAACTGCGGAGTTCTGATGGGATCCGGTGCATTAGTGCTGGTATGATCACACCTGCCAAGTGTTGCGCGATCAATGGTTATATGGATTCGACAACACACCTGACTAACTTGTGATGCGTGAACGATCTTGAATTTGTGACGAAAGAAATGAGTTGGGATGGGGGCGGCGAAGTGGGTTGTTGGGATCAACGGTAAAAAGGATGATGTTCGTTCAAGCAAGACTTATGAAATTTGATAGAGTTCTTCTCATCGACCGGTATCGTCTGACGTCACGAAAAAGAGGTGCAACACGAGGACTTCCCAGGAGGTCACCCATCCTAGTACTACTCTCGCCCAAGCACGCTTGACTGCGGCGTTCTGATTGGATCCGGTGCATCAGTGCTGGTATGATCACACCTGCCAAATGTTGCACGATCAATGATTGTATGGATTTGACAGTACACCTGACTAACTTGTGATGCGTGAACGATCTTGAATTTGTGACGAAAGATATGAGTTGGGAGGGGGCAACAAAGTGGGTTGTTGGGATCAACGGTAAAAAGGATGATTTTCGTTCATGCAAGGCTTATGAAGTTTGATAGAGTTTTTCTCATTGACCGGTATTGTCTGACGTCACGAAAAATACGACACGAAAAACATGTGCAACACGAGGACTACCCAATGGGTCACCGATCATAGTACTATTTTCGCCCAAGCTCACTTAACTGCGGAGTTTTGATGAGATCCGGTGCATTAGTACTGATATGATTGCACATGACAAGTGTTGTGCGATCAATGGTATATGGATTCGAAAGTACACTTGACTAACTTGTGATGCATGAACCATCTTGAATTTGTGACGAAAGAAATGAGTTGGGAGGGGAACGACGAAGTGGATTGTTGCGATCAATGGTAAAAAGGATGATGTTCGTTTATGCAAGACTTATGAAATTTGATAGAGTTCTTCTCATTGACCGGTATTGTCTGACATCACGAAAAATACGACACGAAAAAAATGTGCAACACGAGGACTACCCAATGGGTCACCGATCATAGTACTATTTTCGCCCAAGCTCACTTAACTGCGAAGTTTTGATGGGATTTGGTGCATTAGTACTGATATGATTGCACATGACAAGTGTTGTGCGATCAATGGTATATGGATTTGACAGTACACTTGACTAACTTGTGATGCATGAACCATCTTGAATTTGTGACGAAAGAAATGAGTTGGGAGGGGAACGACGAAGTGGATTGTTGCGATCAATGGTAAAAAGGATGATGTTCGTTTATGCAAGACTTATGAAATTTGATAGAGTTCTTCTCATCGACCGGTATAGTTTGACATCACAAAAAATACGACACGACATGAAAAAGAGGTGCAACACGAGGACATCCTAGGAGGTCACCCACCTTAGTACTACTCTTGGCCAAGCACGCTTAGTTGTGGAGTTCTTATGGGATTTGATGCATTAGTGTAGATATAATCGCACTTTCCAGGTGTTGCGTGATCAATGGTTATATGGATTCGACAGCACACCTGACCAACTTGTGATGCGTGAACGATCTTGAAATTGAGACAAAAGAAATGAGTTGGGACGGGGGCGCCGAAGTGGGTTGTTGGGATAAACGGTAAAAAGGATGATGTTCGTTCATGCAAGGCTCATGAAATTTGATAGAGTTCTTTTCATCAACCGATATCGTCTAACGTCACAAAAAATTCGACACGACACAAAAAAGAGGTGCAACACAAAGACTTCCCAGGAGGTCACACATCCTAGTACTACTCTCGCCCAAGCACGCTTAGCTGTAGAGTTCTAATGGGATCCAGTGCATTAGTGCTGGTATGATCGCACCTGCCAAGTGTTGCGTGATCAATGTTTATATAGATTTGAAAACACACCTGATAACTTGTGATGCATGAACGATCTTGAATTTGTGACGAAAGAAATGAGTTAGGAGGGGGGCGGCGAAGTAGGTTGTTGGGATCAATGGTAAAAAGGATGATGTTCGTTCATGCAAGACTTATAAAACTTTATAGAGTTCTTTTCATTGACCGATATCATTTGACGTCACGAAAAATACGACACGACACGGAAAAGAGGTGGAAGACAAGGACTTCCCAAGAGGTCACCCATCCTAGTACTACTCTTGCCCAAGCACGCTTAGCTGCAGAGTTCTTATGGGATCTGGTGCATTAGTGTTGGTGTGATCGCACTTGCCAAGTATTGCGTGATTAATGGTTATATGGACTCGACAGCACACCTGACTAACTTGTGATGCGTGAACGATCTTGAATTTGTGACGAAAAAAATGAGTTGCGAGGGGGCGGGGAAGTGGGTTGTTGGGATCAACGGTAAAAAGGATGATGTTCATTCATGCAATACGACGCGGTATCGTCTGACGTCACAAAAAATACGACGTGACACAAAAATGAGGTGCAACACGAGGACTTCCTAGGAGGTCGCCCATCCTAGTACTACTCTGGCCCAAGCACACTTAACTTCAGAGTTCTAATGGGTTCCGATACTTTAGTGAAAGTGATGAAGATCTTATTGAACTACTTTGGCAAAGATCTTGTTGATTTGATGAAGTCAAAATTGAAGTCAAAGGCTACTTTGTGGCAGTCAAAGGTCACTTAGAGAAAAGAGTAGTAGGATTAGTGAGTCTGCATCTCTGCTTAGGTATAATCATTTTTATCTCTCTGCTGCATGAGGTTTCTTCATTTAAAAGATTTTGCAAATGCCTCTACAAAGCGTTTAAACGGTTAAAAACAAAGTATTTTGATAAAAGGTTTTTTAATTAACTATTTTAACTAATAGTATACAAGCTTTATCAACTAAAATGTTCTTAACACTTTTGTAACAGGTTTTTAACTGATATGTTTTCAAAATAATCGATTGTTTTCATTAGAAGGAGTTTTGAAAACCTTCTGTTAGTATTTTAACTGATATAGTTTCGAAAAAACCGTTTAAAATCACTTAAAATGTTCAGGGAAGTGTTCTGGAAGTATTTTAATCGATATGACTTCGAAATAATCGATTAAAACCACTTGGAGTATTTGTTGATCGATCAGAATGAGCATATGACCGATCAGAATGAGCATATGATCGATCAGAATGAGTTTTTGATCGATCAGAATAATTTTAATCGATTAAACTGCGTTTTAATCGATTAAAACAACTGAAGAGAATTTCTACTACGCGTTTTAATCGATTAAAACAGATTGTTATCAGTTAAAATCACTTAGAAAAGTTTATAAGAATATTTTGCAGTATTTCAATCGATTAAAAGTTTTATAGATTACAACCTTAATCACACACTCAATCTACCACAAGAACCACAATTCCAGTTCTTGCACCTAACCTTTCACCAAGAACCAAATTCCAGTTCTTGACCTACCTTGCAGCCAAATTCCAGCTACAGAAACCAGTGCCCACAATTCCAGGCACCAACAATACAGTCAAAGAAAGTAAAGAAACAAACAGAAGAAACTAAAACGCTCAAACCAGTTTTATGCAGTTCTGCAATATGTGTTTCTTCTCCAAGAATGCAATTTTGCCTCAAGAAAGAACTTTGATGAACTTCATAAAAACTAGCGTGATTCTTTCTTGAAAGTAGTACTATTGATTGCTTGATGGATTGCCAAAAGATGTATTTCAGATGATGTATAAAAAGTTTCAAGTAACTCTGTTTATATAGAAGATTTTCAAAATTGCTGGTTTAATTAATCTGTTAAAATAATCTTTTAATCTGTTGAAAGTCTTGTTTTAATCTGTTAAATCTTCTTTTAATCCATTAAAACGTTCTTGATTATTTTTCATATTTGTTTTAACTAATATGACAACGTTTATATCAATTAAAACTCTTTACAAAAAATCTTCCAAACTGTTTTAATCGATTGTTTCGTGTTTCAATCGATTAAAATACTGCAAAACATTTTTATAAACTTTTCCAATTGATTTTAACTGATAAAAATCTATTTTAATCGATTAAAACGCTAAGCAGGAATTTTCTTAAGTTGATTTAATCGATTGAAATA